AAAAAAGGCAAACGAGAAAAAAATGGCAAAGGGAAATAAAAAGGCCAAAAAAATAAAAAAAATTAAAAAAAGGAGAGGGGATGGAAAATGCAAAATTCCAATGGAAAAAAAGGCAGAAACCGGAATGAAAAAAAAAGGTAAAAAATGCAGAATGGGAAATGCAGGATTGGGAAAAGGGGAATGGGAAAGGAAGAATGGGAAATGCAGGATGGATGTTGTCAATGCAAAATGCAGAATTAAAAAAAAACACAAACCAAGGTGTTAAAAAAAAAGCACCAAAAAAATCCTCCCCAAAACCGACAAAATTGGGTAAAAAGCGATGGGAGCCCGGGCCTGGCGCTGCCCCAGCGTCCCTCTGTGTCCCCCTCCTGCAGGTGGCAGTGGGGCACAGAGGGGACATGGCAGTGGGGGGGTGACCCCAGCCGTGCCCCCGTCCCCCTTCCCTGGCAGCTCCCTCGGCTGCCGAAACATTTTGCTTATGAATCATCCGAGACTTTTCTAATTCTTTCCTGATGGCTTTCGCAGATCCTGGGGCTGGGCCCCCCCTTCTCCCTCTCCCCCCCTCTCCTCTCTCCCGCGCTCTTTCCCCCCTTTCCTTTCCTTTCCTTTCCCGGCCTCCTCCTCCTCCTCCCCTCCGTCCCAGCTCCCTCCTTCCCCGCCGGCTCCTCTCCACCCTTTCTTCCCTCCCTGCTCTTGGCAGGGTGCCCCGACTCTCCACACGACCACAGCCCCCCTAAACCCCTTTTACCCCAACTCCAAATCCCCTCAAGCCCATTTTTGTTTTTTTTTTTTTTTAAGTTTTTCCCTAATTTCCCTACTTTCCCCCTGATTTTCCCTCTCTGCTCTGCACGCCAACCCTGATTTCCTCCTTCCCCACACCAAGGCAGCCGGACCAAGGGTCGCTGATGCCACCAGACCCCATCCCACCCCACACCCCACATCCCACCGGGGTGAAGACCATCACCCAGCGCCGGCTACTCACTGTCTTCTTCTCCTTGCCCGTGGGTGAGTAGTACAGTCGCTGCTATCAACAGCAGTAACCGAGAATCCACAAAGCTGAACATGTCTAAATATTAGACATGTAGACTCTTTGGGTCTCTTTTGTTCTTAGGTTGGGGTCATACGGGGCCGATCCAACCCTGGAGCTCCAAATCCAGACCCCAGCAGAAACTTCCTACTGCCCTTTGCCCACTTCTTTGCCTGCCCTTATATACGGTGCGGCAGCGGCGAGAGGTGGGACCCATTGCAACCAGGGAATTTTGGACGGCCCCTCGGCCAATCAGAGGCACCCAGCGAGTCGGGGGGCACCCCTTGCACACCCCCCC